TGGATGTCCCACAATCCAGAGACGAGGCCTAAAAGAAGCCGCTTGTAGCTGTTGGGGGGAAAGGCAGGAAAAGTGGCAAAAGAAAAACCAGCAATGCACATGCAGCACATCCAATGAAGCTTATCACGAGAGAGAAAGAGATAGAGGTCAGGGGACAGGGAGCAGGCAGCGGGCAGCAGGCAGCAGGGAGAGGCAGCCTGGCATGGATGCGAGATAGCGCACATCATGGTTTCACCTTTATCCCAACATTCCCAGCCCCCACCCACCGCAGTACTTCCTGCACTGCGGGCAAATTCTCATTTAAGGATGAAAAGATGCAACTTAGCAGGGGGTGGGGTGGGGTTGGGGTGGCAAACTAGCTGGCATCTGCCCCACCACACGCTTCAGTGGTGTGCTGCATTTTGGTGCTGCTTCCTTTCACTTTGGCATGTCCGCTTTTACTGGCACTTGTTGACAATGCAAAGGAGCGAGGAGCGAGGAGCAGGGACAGGACACGGACACGGCCAAGTCAATGCACCCAACCGAACAATCAACGAAAGCGAGTGACAACAAGGGAACAAGCTGAAGCAGTACCAAAACCAGTAGCACAAACAGAGCGAAATCAGCATCAGCAAGGGGCAAACGATACTGCCGCCCTGCTGAAGGGGGTTGCTGCTGCCTCTCTGTGGGCAGCAGGAGAAGGGAGATGCTGGGACACTGTTCCTTAATTGGTCAACCCTCTCAGCAGAACTCTGGGGAAGTTAGCCCCCGGAGGATCTCCACTGAAGGAAACTACGAAAAAAAAAACTTAAAAAAAAAACAAAACACTAAAAAAAAAAAAAACTTAAAAAAAAAAAATTCGGCAAGAATTTCGATTACTTGGTAAACTTCAAGGAAATACTGAGAAGGCATCTTCCAGCGAAACTCCCCAGGAGTAGACCCTGAAGAATCTCTAAATGTGGCATGGGGAAATGGGGAAATGGGCAAGCAGCAGCTGCAGCAGCCAACAAACGGAAAGAGGCGAATACAATATTCGAGATATGTTTTCTAATTACTTGTTCGCACTCGTGCATCATTCGATGGATGGATGGAACTGGCAGAGTGGGGGGGGGGACTGCGATCTCCGACTGGAAATGGAGTCGGACAGGCATCGGGCATCGGGGATGTCTCTGGAGTCTCGGAGGCTGAGTGAATTGGCGACACATAAATTGTAAATATGATAGAAGAACATGCAACACTTTGTGTGCTGCCTGCCTGCCTGCCTGCCAGCCTGCCTGGGGTTGCTACTGCTACTCCACGCCCCAGCATTTCAGCATATAATTATCGCAATGCGTTTCTGTTGTTGCTGCAGCTTCTGTTGCACACGCGCCATGCAGCCATGCAGCCACGCAGCCACTCGACACTCGAGGCTGGCATTGGAGCATGGGGCATGGAACATGGAGTGTGGCGAGTAGGAACGGCCTTCCTTCTGTTTACCCCATTAAAGTTCTTTTGCAGCTGCACAATTTTTTTTGCTGCAGTCGCTGCTTGTCCTGCTCTCTGTGTGCGGTGCCGTGCGTGTGTCTCTAATTAAGTGCCCCCATCGGGGTCACCACAGCAGCCACCAGCAGCAGCAGCACAACCGCCGCCACCCAATCAATCAGCGAAAGTCACTTGAGAGAGAGAGAGAGAGAGCGGGAAAACCACAGAGAGAAGACGAGCAGAAGAATGAAGAAACTTGAGAGTGAGAAAAAAGGAAGCAAAGAAAGACTTCCGCCATGCATCCAGCATCAGGGAAGGGTGAGGAGTGGAAGCGAAGGATGCTTGATGGATTTTCCACTCTTGCCACACATGCCTCACGCTCAACCATGTGGCAACTTCACTTCACTTTCCTTTCAGCATGCAGCATGGAAAATGTGCCCCCGGGGCTTGGCAGGGAAAATTATGAAAAAACAGAGACACAAACAATCGGGCTACAAATACCACAAACAAACGAACAAAACTCGACTTGACGGATGCCCTTTTAAAAATATGCAGAGCAGCAAATGAAAGTCTGACTGGAAAAGTAATTAAAAGTAAGCCAAGATAATTTACATTAATTGCAACCCCTAAGATACTTCTAGATAGAGTTCTAGAATAAAAGATCTCAGCATTTCAGCACAAAGATGTGCCACAATTTGTTGCCACAACTGGCAACAGTTGAACACTAGCGTTTGATGGAGTATTTCTTAGTACTTACCTGTAATATTATATTTGATTTTATTTGATTTGATTTACTTACTTGAAATATAACGAAATTCTATGGAGTGAAAATGCCTTGTGACATTTTTCTCTCTTTTTCGGAATTTATCAAGCGTTTTTCTTTCTTACTGCGCGTCATGCGGCAGCGCCCATCGGTTGGTATTTGCTACTCTCTTGGATTCAATGCACATCGAAGGGGGGTGGTAGGCAGACCTGTAACACAAACGGACATACCCTTTGCGCTCCACGTGCGCTGATGGGTGGATCTTAAAATTGTGACACAGGCAGGCAAACTAACTAACTAAAGGGGAAAGAAGGCTCACGCACATAGCGAGTATTCCACGTACGAGTATGCGTACCACTCGTATGGGGTCTATGGGATGGCATAGGGCAACAGAACATAAAGTTTACCCTGGCAACGCGACGGGGAGGGGGGCAGCTCAAGAGGGTCCCAATCCCAGTCCCAGTCCCAGTCCCTACGCTCGCTCACGGGGAGCCCAGGGTGAGCCTTGCCCTAAGAGTCCTGTGCCGTACCCTTGCTGCCTGCCCTGCTGTACCCTCGCCCTTCCCGCTGGTCGATGCACTGCTCCACCCTCGCACCCCCTGCCCCCTGGTTCATGCACTGCTTTAGCCTTGCTCCCTGCTCCTTTTTTGCTGCTCTTCCCCTTGCTGTATCTCTGGCCGTTGACAATGCCACATGCGTTAGGGGTTTTTTGATGTTTTCCACAGTAGTCCCACAGTACCCAAACCCTAATCTATCCCGCCTGCAGATTCAAGTGCACACGCGGAGAGCTTTAAAAATTCCAGAAGCAAAAAGAAGCTCACAGAGAGAGAGCCAGAGAGCTCAATTCAATTTGTTGAGTAGCTAAATTTAGACGCTAATTTGGGGACCTGCTGTGTGCCGAACGTGATCGTTCGTGTCCAGTTGCCCAGTTCTCAGCCTGCATCTCGGGTTACAGCGAGAGAGAGACAGAACGAACCTCTACTCAAATTACAAATTGAATTTTTCATGTCTGTCTTTCGGCTGCTTGCTGCTGCTGCTGCTGCTGCTGAAAGGATCCCTGGGATCCCTTTGGTAGCGAGCCATAACTTCGATGGCATTATCCATCGTCCAACTTTATTATATTCTCTTGCCTCTCTCCCTCTCTCACTGTCCTTTATCTGAATAATAATCTTGCCAAGCCACTGACATAATCATCTGTGTGTCCAGTGGCTCTGGCCAGCCATCGTTGCGGCTTAGACGGCAGTAAAATAGCTGAAATTATGTTGAGAGGAGCCCAACACATTCCTGGCGGAATGTTCGCGTTAAATAAGCGACCGAATGTGATCAGATCATTGCCCGCTGGCTGCTCAGAGAGTGAGTGCCGTGCAGTGCGGGATAATCCCAAAAATTACAAAATCACAAAAAATATAAGATATATATATATATAGTGCAACATGTGTGCCGCTACACCCAATGTTTCGATGCATTATTATTATTATTTAATATTTATTAACACATAAATATGCCTTGCTATATATCTGAATGATTCAAGCGATAAATCCGCTTCAAGTTCATCATTGTGGGCTGTACATATGTACACGCGTGCTATGTACATGCACATACGAGTCAGAGTACATAAATAACTACAAATGACATTTGTCTATTGCTTCCAGGGTGCAGGGTGCAGGGCGCTCTCCTGCCGCCTCTCTCTGGTCAGCTCTACTGTCTGCATATCTTTGGATCGGGCACCTGGCTGGCATTTCTTAGTTCTGCTTTATTTTTCAATTAAATTAATGCTCAGTTAAACCTTTGCAAGAGGTGCACAAAAAACAAGCAAACAAACAAACAAACAAGAGGAAAAAGAGAAACCCTTTGGCCATGGCAGACTCAAAGTCAGGAAAGGAGTCTGCGGAGTCAGAGTCCAGGAACTTTGTTGAATTAGCGGCAATTAATCACAGCGACATGTGTGGATTGTGTGTGTGTGTGGCATGCTGAAAGCCGTAGCACTGAATGAGGCATTTACTTGCATTTACTTGCCGCATTCGAGCGTGCCGCCAAGCGGTCAAAGTTCCGGGAAGGTAAACCCAACCTCACCCTCAACCTCCCATCCATCCAACGACTGGCTGGCTGGCTGGCTGGCTGTGGCAGCTGCTCCTATTTGTATTTATTTTTTAATGGCAGCTACAACTACTCCATGAAGTCAAAGAGTTGACATTGCTGCAGGTGTACGACTATGTCTATTAAAATTCCTTGATTCCTGCCCCCGATAGGAGTCGTGGAATCCTAGCTACTGACACTCACTTTTGCTCATCTGTGGTGGAGAAAGGGATTCAACAAGGGGAACAGCCAAGTGCACTGCTCCAAGAGATGCCACATATGTCAGCACAACGGGCTATCGATTATATTCAGCATTTATTTGTGAATATTATTTAAGCTTTAATTAACTTTAAGTACAAATAAAATGCGGGAGAGACTTTTGGCACCGAATATTGTTTGTGGCTTGGAGATGCGATTTTTGCCCTTCTTTTTTTCTTTTCGTTAGACGAAAGTTACGTTAGGCTCTTATATTATTATATCTTATATTATATTATATTATATTATATTATATTATATTATATTATATTATATTATATTATATTATATTATATTATATTATATTATATTATATTATATTATATTATATTATATTATATTATATTATATTATATTATATTATATTATATTATATTATATTATATTATATTATATTATATTATATTATACTATATAATTTTTTTTTAATGGGTGAAAATAATTTTGGTTTTTGTTTTGTTTGCAGATCGGAGCAGTGCGAGGAGTAGCATCAACCATGTGCCATGGAGAGCCTGGGCCTGGGAAGCAGACGCAACAACAGCGGCAACTCCAGCGCGGGTCCGACGACTGCCAGCCCTGTGAATGCCACCAGCAGTGGTGCGGGAGCAGTGGGAGTGGGAGTGGGAGCAGGAGTGGCAGTGGGCGTGGGAGTGGTTGTGGGTGGAGGACACAGCCATCACCTGGGCAAGGTGCTGGTCCACTCGAAGATGAAGCATCAGCATCCCGCCAATCAGAACTACTACACGCAGCAGCAGACGCAACTGCAGCGACTCAAGCAGCAGCAGAAGCTCCAGCAGCAACAGCAACAGCAGCAGCAGCAGCTGGAGGGGATTCACGGGGTGGTGGGTGTGGCTAAGCACTGCCTGCAGTTTCCGCCGCCTCCAGACTACCCGCCGCCTGCAGCAGCAGCAGCAGCAGCCGCCGCAGCAGCCTCCTCAGCGGCAACTGGCGGAGGAGCAGCGTCGCTGCTGCTGGAGAGGAATGGGGGCAGAAGACAGCTGCTGCCCCGTTATCCGGACCCCGATCCGGATGCCATTGAGATCTGCAATGAACAGGAGACCTCACCGCACCACCTCAAACAGCTGGCGGCACGCCAGAGCAAGACACTCGGCAGGATTCACAGCCACCAGCACCACCAGCAGCAGCAACAGCAGCAACAGCAGCAGCAGCATCCACTGCAGCACCATGTCCATCATGACTACTCGTACGCCTACTACGAGCCGGGAGCCGCCATGCGCCACTCGAATGTGCCCCGGCCGGAGGGAGCGGCAGCCAGCAAGGGCAGCGCCGCCTCAGGATCTGCTGCAGCGGCCGGAACATCCACCACATCCTCCTGCTCCTCGTCATCGTCCTCCGGTGAGCCACCGCCACCCAACTCCATACGCGCCCTGCTGTCCAAGGGCAAGAAGAACAAACAGCTCGTCTCGCCGGCCACCCTGCAGTCCTACCAGACGCGCTACCACAAGCTGGCCACCGCCTCCCGGCTGGGCCTGGGCCTGGGCCAGAGCGAGAACTTCTACGAGGAGATCAATGCGGCCGCCCTGCAGTCCTCCTCGGCAATCATCTCCAAACCATTATGCGCCTCCGCCACCCACCAGCAGCAGCAGCAGCAGCAGCATCAGCAGCAGCAGCTGAGGAGCACTGTGGGCTCCCATTCGGCGGGTTCGCTCAATCAGACGCTGGTCGAGGAGGAGCAGCGTCGCGTGCAGAGTCGCCACCACAAGATCCTGGGCGAACTGAATCTGAGCGTGGAGGCCATGCTGATGCCGGAGAGTCCGCCCAAGGTGTTGCAGCAGCCCGGCGGCGCTTGCCCCGACGGCAACAGCAACAGCAACAGCAATACCCCCAAGAGGGCGGCACTGCCTCGGCCACGCCCCCCAAGCCCACTGTCTGCGTGACGGCGGCCAGCGGACAGCCGTCAATGATGACGGCGCGACTCACCTCCACATCGGCGGACAACATCTGTGATAGCAGCGAGACTGGCAGCGGCGGCGTGGAGCAGCTGCTGCTGGCCACGCTCAAGACGGGTCCAGCGGCAACGGCGGCGGGAGGCACCGGCACGGGCATTGGGCAACGCCTGCGACCTGGACAGTGGCTTCAGTGGCAGCAGCGGCGCCAGTTATATCGGCAGTCTGCGCCTCACCAAAACGCAGCACATCAAGTGCGCCCGCCAGACGCCCACAGCCTCCGCCACAATGTCCACGATGGCCACACAAAGCTGTCGATCCTTTCAGCGGGCGGCCACCGTTTACGATGAGGCGGGCATGGGCATGGGCATGGGCGGGGGCAGCGGCAGCGGCAGCACCTTCCTTACGCGCGCCTCCTGCGGCCGTCGGATACTCAGCTGCGCCCGCATCAGAGCTGCCGAGGATCCGGGACCGAATCATCATCTAAATCATCTCAATCTGAATCATCGAACGGGCGTACAGCTGATGACGCCAGCGACGACGACGACGGCGACGGAGTCGAAGGCGCGCAGCTTCTGGAACCGCAAGGGCTGGCGCAAGCTGCCCGGCTTCTCCACGTCCACGTCGAGCATCAATGATGCGGGTCTGCAAGGTGAGTGGATAAGAAATTTCAAGAAATTTGTCGACTTCGGTTAGGATTAAACGCCCTCTACAGGTGAGTGCCAACTGGCGCCATCTGTGGCTAGGCAACAGTGGCGCACATTACTTCTGCTGCTCGCCTACAGAAGGCGCTGCTGCAGCGCCATCTGCTGTTTTTTTTGGGGTAAACTAATGACATTTTGTGGCGTGTTCTCTGCGGCAGCTGGCGCCACTGCTTGATCGCACAGCTATGTTCAGGCGTTGGCCAACAGATGACGCCAGCTGCTTGAGGAGGGTGACAAACATTACGGTCCCCGGTCCCATCTTATCGCAAGCTGCTTGCCTGGCCCCCCGCCCGGACGGATCCGATCCCCGCTGTCGTGGCAGCAGTTCGTTCTTTTATTTTTATCAGCAGCTCACTCGCATGCACAACGAGGCAGGCAGACAGGCAGACAGGCAGAGAGGCAACCAACCCAACGATCCATGATTTTTGTGTGGCACATGCTCCGGTGGCTGTGCTGTGCTGTGCTGTGTGGCTTTTGCTTTTGCTTTGCTTTTGCCCAGTGCTTGGACGAACCCTCGCGTTTTCGTCGGTCTGCTCGGTTGTATTTCGCGCGCTGCTCGCGCGGACTCACTGGCTGACTGGCTCTGGTCTCTGGTCTCTGACTCGAGCTCTGGGGGCTCCATTCAAATTCACATTCACGCTCGGCATTCGTTGTGGATGTGGTTTTCAGTAGAATCGATCTTGTCGGGCATGCCGCATGCTACAATTTTTTGGCTCGTCGTTCCAAAAACCAAAAAAACAACAAATAAAAAACACAAAAAAACATAAACTTTATTTTCTATAACAATTTTGTTTGGTGCTTTTGTGCAAGTGCAAAGTGGGGTGAAAAAATATTAATTAATTTGTTAAATCACCTGCGTCTGTATCTTTTATATCTGTGTGTGTGTGTGTGTGTGTGTGTTTGTGTGTGTAACTCCACCAAAAAACCCCTCTGGAAATAAATTTAAAAAAAAATAATTAAACACACAGAGAAATTGTGATTGTGATTGTGGATGTGGATTGCCAGCTTCCAGCTTTGAGGGAGGCGTTGACACTTGATTTGGCCTGCTGCTGGCACTCGCACACTCATACTCATACTCATACTCGCTATTGATTTATAAATAATGCCCGCCCGATTGTTGAGTTAATCAGCGAACCGATTTGTTGTTTTTTTTTTGTAAATTCCATCCAAATTATTAATGTGCGTCTTTGCGTCGTCGTGGGGCTATAATTAGCTGGTGAGACGAGCGGGTAAAAGTGATGCACGGCAATCGACCTCCCCGCCCGATGATCCATGACTAGAAAGACTAGAAGCGAGCGACACACAGAGAGACAGACAGAGAGAGAGAATGGCATTTCAATTGATTAAATCCGCCCTGGATCAGCAGCAGCAGCAGCAACATCAACATCAATCGCTGAGGCGCCACAGCAATCTGGGTCTGCCACATCAGCATGCAACAGGAGTTGTCCTTCTAAAATGTGGGTAAAAACAAATACTACAATTTCTAGTTTTACTTAATAACGAACTGAGGTATTACAATGCGCTGGACCAGCTGTTGACCAGATGATTCATTCCATATAACCATACAGCACCCCATACCCCATACCCCACCCCCATACCTATACCCCTGCCAGTTGCCACAGTTTTAGTGTCTTGCCAAATGCTGCTTAAGCTATTTTTGTGCGTAATTTGCTATTGGATTGGAGTGACTCACTAGCAGTATGATTTGTAGTTGTTCTTGACGGGCATCGAGACGATTTTCAATCTATTTATATATATTATTTTGTTATAGATTAAATCTGTAGAATATGTAGAAAAAGGGCAAAGTTGATACAAAAATAAATACAAAACAAAATACAGGAAATAAGCGAATAGTACGGCATAACCGACTTGGGCGAATAAATTAGGTGATCTATGGAACACTTTAGGCATTAGCTATGCAGCTCCCATGGTGCTACAGGGGGGAGTAGATACATACATATGTAGCGAGATGGTTTATGGTTTAAACTTTAAAGTACTTGCGTGGGTAAATGCCAAAGGAAGCAGCAGAACGAAAGCTAACTTTAATTGCAAACCAAAGAGTTCTTAAATTAATAATAAATGCCAGCAGAAAATAACTTATTAATTTATATTATTATTAAAATTAAATTGAATGCTTAAAATTAAAAAAAAAAATATTATCACAATTAATTAAATGGCAGGGCACCAGTGTAGAGGCCTGCGGCTTGCAGTTTATGCATAAAGAAAAACTACCTAGAAAAATTTAGTGCCATATTTACAGCAAAAAGAAAACATAAGCAACAATTGTTGCACTTGCAACTAAATTAAAGGCAACACACAGCCCACAGCACGAGTTCAAGAGCAAGACATCATCACAGAGCAGCAGCAACAGCCATCTGACATTGGTTCAAGCGGAGATCCTATGGATACTATGGAAACATTTTAGTAGCAGCGTTGGGTTGGGTCAATGCCCAGTGACACGCACATTGTGCATCTGTATGTCTCCATATAGAATGCGAATATATATACATTTATGTAGATACTTACCTCCACTCCACATTTCTCGATCATCGACAGAGACACAGGGAAAGAGAGCAGCGACAGAGGACAGGGGACAGAGTGCAACAGACTAACTTGAAATAAATTCGAAATAAATGCGTGTACTTAAAGCTGTCAAAGCTCTTTATTGTTGTTCATCTAGTACGTACCCCTCCCTGCCTTTCCTCTCTCTCTCTCTCTCTCTCCCCCTCTCGCTATCCTTCTCCCTTTACTCTGCCTTGTTTTCGCTGTACAAAAATTAATCATCAGCAGGAGGGGGCTGGTGGGTTTGCAATTAAAAACAGTACTTCAAAGTATTTATACAGATGCCTGGAGAGCACAGCCAAAAAATTAAAAAACCAAAAACAAAACACAACAACAATGCTGTAGTCGGCTAACAGATACCCTAGAGACAGGCGTGATATGTTGGCTTTTTTTCAATATCATTTTTATATTTATTTTCATGCCATTTGCTTTAAAATTTATTCCATTATTATAATTCTAATTTTTATTCGAATTATTATTGCGATCTCCAACAAATGTCTGCCAATATGCCCCCACCACACACCCACACTTCTGTTCTGCACACGTTTACAGGGTAAACAAATAAAGGAAAATAAATTTTAAATAGTTCTTGGGCCTCGCTCTCATTTCGTTTTATTTTCCATTTTTCTCTCCTTTTCTTCTCCTCAAATTAGTTCCTAGAATCCCATTCAATTATTCATCATAAAAATGCGAAAAAAAAAAAAAAGAAAAAACTAAAAGAGCATGAAATAGGGGAAGAGAGAAAGAGTAAGAGAATTATTATTGCACTTTTGTTGTGTCGAGTATTTTCCAGCTTTTGTCGCAATTGCTGTTGACTTTTGCTGCCTGCCTGCCTGCCTGCCTGTTGCCTGTTGCTGCTGTGGTCCATCATTGATGATTGTTGGGTGTCCGTTGTCGGCTGTCAGCCTGTTGTATCCATTGGTGTATCTTCAAATATGTGTCTGGTGGCATTGTGGCATTAGCAGCGCGTGTCTGAGTGCCGCTTTAACTAAGCACTCGTTAATCAATGTCGCCACAGAGTCCCATGCTCAGTGCCACCCCCCAGCTCTCAGTGCCATTGCCAGTCCCCCTCCCCACAATCATCATTCCAGCACCACTGGCAATTAACTCTCTCAATGCTCACGCTACTCTCTTTGTTTACTCCTTCATCACCATCATCATCATCAGATGATGATACTCTGCGTACTGTGTTTATTTTCTGTTAAATATAGTTTACCCATACGAGTGGTTATTGTGGGGCGATACATCGTTGGATTTCGCTTTATTTTAAATATTTATATTTTTCCAATTTTTCCAATTTGTATTGCATTCTACTTCGCTTACATTTAATGGCAATCTTTTAGCTATTGATTATTGTCAGAGATATTTTGCATAATTAATCGATTGGATATCATCGTTTGACACGTGCCCCTCAGCCTCTGGCTGCTCTAATGCTCTGGCAATCTAAGAACAAATATTTAGACAAATATTATGCTTGGCTGCACTGAAGAATCATTAACAAATGTTCGCCATAATCCAAGCAATATTTAAGCAATAATTAAACAGCTTGCGCGTGGGTTGAACGTATTATTTGATGTGTAAACAGTTTACTTAGTATTTTAGACCACAATAGCACTCGATATATACTGTATATATGTGTGGGAAATTATCTAAAAAATCTTTGTAATAACGAAGAAACATTTCAGGAAGTAATTATAGGCAATAGATAATATGGAAGGAAAACAAACCCTTTTGCTGCTACACACTGTACTGGCTGGCTCTTAGCCAGGCATAAGATGAGCAGCCAGCCACATCACAAATTTTGAGCCAGTTTGTTGTTGTCCTCCCACTGTCACTTTGCCGCCGTCTCTGACTCCGTTTACCATCTCCATTGCCGGCAGCAGCAGCTCCCCCCTACATTCCTGCATTACAGGCCAACTCTTTTGGCCAGAGACAGAGACGTAGCGGGAGCTGAGAGTTTGTCATGTACGACACGAAATTCGTGTAGCCTTTGGTGGATTGGGGTTTTGTTGTTGTTGTTGTTGTTGTTGTTGTTATCCCCCCACTGCTTAGTGAAAGTGTTTAGACTTTGCCTGCATCCAAAGACAAGCAGCCGAAAAAAAAACCCAAAACAAAACCCAAAGCCCAAATGCAAAAACAAATGTGCTCATTATTTAATTTTTGAAAAACAGTATTTACTTGGCACACTTTTTGCTCAGCGGCGGCAGCAGCAGCATCGAACACACCTCGGGATGGGATCGAATGGGATGGATGGGGATGAGGCATGGGAGTTGCAGGGTGTACGGTGTACAGTGTACACCACAGCGTATGCGCAACATTAATTAAAATTCAAACCAACAAAAAAAAAGAGAAGGAACAGCAACAGCAGCAGCGATGTGTTTTTTTT